TTGAACTGTACTAAGTTTTGAGATTAAAAGTGTGAGCCCAAAGCTGAAAGGTTGCCTTGGGAATGTGCTCGGTACTGACTAGAGGCTGCGAGGATTGGCGGAAAGTTTGGAGTGGTTCAAAATGCAACGTGCTGAGCCCACAGGATTCTTCAAGACTAGAAGGCATCTTTACCAGCAAGCCGCCGTGGGGATGCATTTTGACTGTGGATGTACGGTAAGGGGCTTTTGCCAGCATCGTGTAAAGATGAACAAATAAACTTGTAGGATAGATTGCCTTAGTATCCTACATCTAAGCATCTTCAAATAGTAGCAGACTCTGAGAAACCAATTAACACGAAACCATGCATATATACTCCAAAACAGGCTTCCGTACAATAAACATAAATGTGCTGGCATTGGCGCTGAACAGAAAATCGACTATGAGAGAATGAGCCTGACTTGTGCACCCCAACGCCTTTTGGAATGCAGCACACGCCGATTGAAGTGTTGAAAGCGAAATCCACCGAACAAAAAAGGGAAAAGAAAGGCAGAGGCGAGGTAATGGGAGAGTTCTTTTCGAACAGGATGGTAGACACAACGCTGGAAAGTTATATCAAAGAAAGGAATTTGAGAGACTGTAGCAGTTGAAGATCATTGACAGAGTGATTGTATGCGGGTGGCATTTAATCTACCACGTCCTCGTCTTTGCCCGGGTACATGATGTCTTGTCTGATGACGGCACGAATGTGGTAGACGAAAACGAAGACCCACATGCAGACAATACCGACCGACATGGCCGAGCCGACGCCCAAGACACCAGGGCTCCCCAATGCCCTCCCCAGGGTAATAGTGGCCAGCGTGAACCCGGTGTTAGGGAAGACCATGGCCCACCAGCTAAGATGGAACGCAGTGGGCCGGGACCGGACGACGGCAACAAAGGCAATGAGGAAGAACCAGAGACTCAGGGCCCACAGGAACACGCCGACGATAATTGCCATCAGCTCGAGGATTCGGGCGTCCTCGATGGCGTGTGCGTCTTTGATGATCTTGAATTCCTCGGGCAGGCCCTTGGCCATCCCCACTAGCGCCAGCGCGGTGAAAGCCGGAGGCCCCACGCAGATGAACATGGCTGGTCTGTGTTCGCGGCAGGGAAGCCCTGACTGCATGAGTCGGCCGATGTAGTGGGCGTACATCATGAAGCTGATTGAGAAGCCGAGGCCCTGGAAGGTAACGCCGGCGGTGATGACGGGGATGGCGGATCGCGCGGGCTGGGATTCGCTGATGACCGAGGCGATGGTTCCGCTGAGCATGATGGGGAAGGCTGGTAAGATCCATGATGGCATCATTGTCTGGAGGCCGTAGGAGTGGGCAGCGAAGAGGAACGAATACTGTATCACGGCTGTGGCAAGGGTGCAACTACAGTAGACCCAGAAGAGGACTTCGAGTGCGATGAGGTACGACTCTAGTTCGTTGGAGCCGAAGTAACGATGCAAGCCGGTGATGATCGTTGCAATGGATAGCCAGAAGGTAGGGAAGAAGAGACCCTCGCGAGGGTGGCGCAAGCTGTCAAGGAAACCGCCATGCAGAACGAATCTCAGCGCCATCAGAGAACAGACGAGAGCGAATAACAGAAGATTGAGGATATAAACGACCATCCCAATGCCCTTCATGCCATTGAAGGTATACGGCTGACTAGCAATCAGAAGAGCCAGTCCACCGGTGCTCATCGTCAAGGTATACCACGCCCAGGTGAAGTGCCGTAGGCGCTCACGAAGGCTTAGTCGAGGAGATTTCTTCATTTCTTGTTCAAAAAAGCCAGAGTCTGACTGTGACGATGTTTGTGGAACATAATCATGATCGTTGAACATCGTGATTGCGAAATGCTCGGTCCTAATACGGATACGGAAAGAGTATGAAATGCAAACAAGGAAATTTATGCCAAGCTTAGTGAAGATGTGGTAGAACGAGGGAACACGAGACAGGATCCTATCCGGATGAGAGAGAGTGTGTAGATGATCTTTCAATGCTCTGACTCCATTACAGAAACCCACAGACACCGCAAAGATGAATCTAGTGAAGAGCTCGAAGCAGAGATGGTAAAGATCAGCCTAAGTGCACTTGAAAGAATGGATGCACAATGCAGGGCCTGCAAAAGGAAAGAAGAGAGAGAGATTTGGAATAAGAGAATGTAATTGTCCGAGTGAAACAACGAGATATCGCTGGAGCCATAGATACTTTATACCAGACGGCAGAGCCGCCATGCACATGTGAACGACCACCATAAAACATTGAGGGCTTCAGGTTGACAACCATTGCCATCCCATCTGACGTGAAGGCTGTCTGGGCCAAGAGTCCAAGAAAATAGGAATGCAGGATGCATCAACAGTGGTTGGCTTAGCAGATATCGCGGAGGACTTCCTATAAACTCATTGCTCCAGCTTGGATCAGGAGTGTCCACCAGGAATCGGGGAGGTTAGGAAGGAAACTCAATCAGGCGCATATTTAGATAGGGCCATAGGGGACGTAGCTGCAACTCACCTTCTTGCAAAGGAGAGAAGGTTCACTGTGGAGAGACTAGACAAGGGGAGGGGGAAGGTAAAGCCTGATGCCTAGGGGGATGAGCCATGATCTTCACAAATAGTGGCAAAATAACGAGACTTCGCCAAGAGAATGTCTGGTATGAGAGTGTGCCTGAAGGAAGAGGAGCAAGTAAGTTACGCACTATGCAGACCACAAATGCAACGTTCTCGCCATGCAGATCCAGATGACGCGTTTTTGGCGATAGCACGGGTACAGGTCAGAGTGAAGATAGGAGTGGCTTGTCACATCGACTAAAAAAGGAAAGATAAGGCTTATTTCCTATTTTGTCAGCATTCTGGCTTCTTTTGCTTCTTACGGTATCGGGTTCTCTTCTTTGGCCGGCTTCCCTGTTTTGTATTCGAAAGTGGTTTTCCAAACTTGTCATGATCCGAATCTTGAGACTTTTCCAGTCTCGACGACGCGATCTCAAAATTAGAGGCCGGGAATGAACCATGGGATGGAGAAAGCACCTCATCGGGTTGCCCGATTGCAGGCTTTCGGGCCGAAGCAGTTGAAATTTTTACAAGTGGAAAGGGGCCGCTAAGCCCAGGAGTAGAACCGTAGATCATCGATAGGGAAGGCAACAGCTTTGAAGCCGATTAGACGGCTCTGGATTTTTGTGAATTCTGTGGGGCCTGATGGCCAGGACCCGAGTAAATCATAGTGGAGGAAGTTCTGGGCAACATTCGAAGTACAACAGATTACAGAACACAGCACCGAGTGAATCTCAACGTGCGCCGACGCCTTCAATTTGGTTTGCCGAGGAGCCCGGCCAAGAGGCGCAACAGAGGGATCGACAACGCATCATCGACGGGGAGACCCGCTGCCAAGCTCAGTGGTGGCTGTGGGAATGAAAGCAAGTTAGCGAGTGAGACATAAGGAAAGGGGATGGAAAGTGAAACCATTACTTGAAGGGACTAGGTTTGCGTGTTGTATTTGCTTTTTTCGACCTGCGATATTATGAGTGGATGTATGGCATTTCCACGCCACGATCTGATATCCATTTCATGACCATGAAGAGATCATGGGTCCAGAAGAATGCAATCATCTGTGAACCCAGTGGAATCAAGAGAGATGGATTTGGAGGAGGAGTCAATGGAGTCGATGGAGATGTTGGAGCGAGAGGAGAGTCCAGTCCAGATCTCGTTGCTGGGAAGACCGCATCAATGCTTCTCTTGGCATTGGGAGAATCGACATCAGGGAGGTTACAACAACCATTTCTAAGAATGACAACCAGCACTGAAGTTCAGGAAGCTAGTTTTCTCTGTGAGGTAGCGATGCATGGCTTATCCAAGTTATTGTCCGGTCTTTCTTGTTGCAAATACAAAGCCAAGAATGGCTGTGATGGCAGATCTAAATGATGAAACGAATTCAGCGCTGCAGTGCATGGCCAAAATTCAAATACTTCGGTGGATCTCTGGTGAGTACGGAGTATGAATATCTCCCCTGGGAATTATACAATTCTAATGCACACTATCCATGATCTACAGAGTCGTTGACCCACTGCTTGGGTCTCTATTCCACCGTAACATCAGCATGATACATGGCAACTGCTACTACAGCGATTAGACAGATCAAAGGTCCCATTGTCGCCGCCCCAACTCCCTCAATATCCAGTCCATGCCAGAGGTTATATCAAAATATCAACTGCGCCAAGAGGGAATGTCCACATATCAGTCCGGAATATGAATCAAGGCCAAGAAACGGGAAGATGGTCCGTCTCCACTCACCTTCCGAGTCTCTACGAAGCGAATCCACTTCGATGCCCAGAAGGCAGATCAGTCGAACTTATCTGTTATCTAGTAGATAGGCCTGACGGCGATGTACACAAGGTGAGACTGAGTTGTCGATTGCAGCAGCGGAGGTTTGGCATGCTGCTCTAGCCGTACAGACGCGGTGAATCTAGGACGTGGTTGTACAGTAGCCACGGAAATTACTTGCTACGTCCATATAAAATGCTACACTTGTTCTGGCTGCGCATTAAAAACAACATACATTGGTAAGAGGAGTTAGGAGTGGGCAGTTCATCATACTGATCGTCCAGTCTAGGTCGTTATCCGATTCTTCAGTCATGACAGGGTACACAAGGCGTTGAAAAGCAATTGATAGAAAGCAAGGTCGTAGAACAGGATGCACCAAAAAATGCTAGGGGAATGGTCATCATCATTTTTGTAGTCAATTTGGACGAAATGATGTCCCCATGTTGAGACCAGGACAAGACCCTAAAAAAGGTATGCTCGAATAACAGAAGTCTTATTCCGTTGCTCGTCGTTCCATACTCCCGTTCCATGCATAGATACGTACTTCAAACAAGAATACATGTAGATATACCGACCTGAAGTAAAGGCGAAGGCCAAATTGAACAAGCCCCAACAGGGGACACAAACAAGACGCCTGATAGGATGGACAGAAGGCAAATGAAGCGCAAGTGAAACTCGAATTCACACCATGCGGAAGACCAAGTCCGAGGCAAGTTCGGTTGTCGAATCCAAGAGCGCGCGGAAACCACGGCTGGAAGGTCGATCCGCCATTCGTGGCCGTTTGTCCACTGGTGAAGGGAATGGCGAGCTTACTATACTTTCCATTGGACCGCAGTATTCTGCGAGCTCTCTCACCTTGCAGGCTGCGTAGTGTACAACGAGTTTCCGAAGCTCGTTGTCGCGAAGCTGAGTGGCCGAGGTTGGTGAAATTGGCTCCAGACGGGTCGTCTTGGTGTAGGTGAAGTGGAGAAGGTCAAGGACCATTCTGCCCTTGGTTGCGGTCAAAGCAGCTCGCTCTTCCTTCCCTTCGCCGTCTTTCGGATCAGGAAAAGCCAGGCGCAGCAGATCCGCGTGAAGCTTTCGGAGACACAACTGCGCCAGACCGGGAATCAAATATCGTACAGCGAAAACGTACAGCTTGGCGTGGAAGATAAGATATGGGAGATCTGACTTGGTTGGATCCGAGTGTGTCGCGGTTGGGGTGAGTGGCCTTGTCCCATAGGTCGAGGGATGATCAAAATAGTCCAAGCTCACAAACTCATCCCAGAGACCAACTCCAGTTGGGCGGCGCGAAAGATACAGCTGCTTGGCGAAAGAGGTGTCAATGAACGCTTTCATCTGGCTTCGGGGAGACGCAACCTCTTCCTTGACTTTGTCCTGCTTTTGACTGTCGTGATCAAGCTCCACCTTCTGATTGAGGGTGCCCTTGACATTGGGAGGCACAGAAGTTGCTCGATCCCAACTCTCAGTATCCGACAGTGCAGCAGCATCAGGGGACTGGTCCGCTCCAGTGGGCTCAGGAACTTCCACAACCTCCACTGCCTCATCTACTTTAGTAGGTTCCATCACTGGGATCGGATCATCCAGCATTGTAGTAGTCTCGACTGTGAGCGGGCTATCAATCTGGTCATCAAGATTTCCAGGAGGAGGGGTTGTTGGAGGAGTCAGGTTAGACATTGGTTCCTCTGCCGTCGCACCACCTTGCTGTTTCTTCTTGCCCTTCTTTGACTTCTTCGCTTTCTTGCCCTTCGAGGGCGTGGCGTCCTCCTCGAGACCCCAGAAAAACCCCTCTTCGGCAGCAGAGGTAGCCAGAGGCTGCTCACTTGGCTCGTCACAGTTTGATGCCAGATCCTGTGGCGGATCATCGGGTGCCGCAACATCCTCTCCCACGTCGTCGTTTGCATCCTTCACGTCCTTGCCCTCCTTCTGCGGCTGCGCCGACGCCTCAGTTGCCTCGGCAGTCTTCGAGTCCCCACTATCTGGCACGTCCAGGTTCCTGTCCGAAAACTTGGCAGACGGGGGAGGAGATGGTGCTGGGGGAGGAACGGCCGAGGCGAAGGGATTGGGATTCGAGAACATCTCATTGAACGTCGGGTCATTGCTGGGCTCATCCTTCTCACCCTTGCGAGATCCCGGTGTAGGCACGCTGTAATCGCCCGTGTAGGCATACTCGCAAAAGGCCACAAAGGTCTCGACATCCTCGTCCTCTAGAACAGCAATATGATGCTTGGACTCCCTGGTGAGGCCATTGTTCATGAGATGATCGAGCGGTTGGGAGACATGGCGGGCAAGACCCGATTGTATTGTCAATTTGTCATGATTAGGTCCAACAAGGAATGTGAATGGTGGTGAATGGACGATGCTGTACCCAGGAGAGTGATTCGAAGAGTCAGTGGCAACGCTGTCATGGTTGGCATGAAAATGCTCGTAGGTTGGATATTCGGAATGAATGAAAGCAAAGCTAAGACACAGCACAAGCAGGATGCTGAAAACAGAGATATCTCCTCCAAGTTGATCAACGAAGATGCTCGACTCACCTACTCCAATCTGGAGACGACTCCATTGAGGATACTGTCCCGGAAACCTCCGCTTTTTCTTCCAACAAATGGACAATGCGATCTCACCAAGACAAAGGTGCGAGTAAGAACAGAGCAAACGCAATCTGTTCCCAATTGCCCTCGCTCTGAATGAACAGAAATAAATACTAACAGCCCGAAACAGTCATCGTTGACTCTTCAAATTCGAAGCAGAGTCCACGCGAACTGAAGTTTCTGACCCTGCGCCCTCCTATCCTTGCCCTCTGCAGCCTCATTTTCCCTCTATCTAAACTAAAAAGAGAGGCTACAAGCGCGGAAACTGACCCAGATGGGTCAAGTTAGTCTGCTACGTGTGCATTCACGACGGGATTTAGGGCGGTTTGACCGCCAACTTCTATTCTCCAACGGTGCCAACAGCAACAACCCCCTCATAAACCATTCCTTCTTATCATGTCAGATACCATGAACCACTCTGTCTTGGAGCCATACCTTGCCATTGATGACATTGACATGGCGAAATTCGCGGGGATAGCTCAACATCCGCGACCCCTTTGAGACACTGTGCAGGTAGGCTAGCTGTTCGTCTCACTCATTCTTAAGAACGACTATTAGTGCTACTGGACAACGCAGCGGTACCATGGCAAACTGCTGATGGAGACTGTAACACGCGCAAGTCACGCGGGTAATAGATAGTTGCAGGGCGGTGGAAGTGACCAAGCAAGATCGTTTGAGAGTGCTTTGAGTAGGCATTAGTCTGGTCAGTTAGCGTTGACTCCTGCATCACCCTGCAACGGGGTTGCCAATGCCAATTTCCTCCAACGGGTTAGGTTGTTGCCCGACGAGCGCTGTAACTGCTGTTCGTCCCAGCCTCTTGACGACCCAATTGCGGGTCGTTTCGTGGACAGAGTTAGTTTGATTCTCCAAAGAATCATAAACTAGAGAAGGATATTATTCATGGTTATGGTAGTGTATGCTAGAAGTGCTGTGAAGTTCCCAAACTGGCTGGATGCGATCTCATCTGGCGGTGAGAACCCAAGGTGCAATAACTACGGAGTTACTGGCAGTGTATGCCTTGCAATTGGGGGCGCATGTCTCAGTCATGCTACATATCAAATTAATATAGCTATTTTCCGTATGTAGTCTTAAGCTTTGGTTCTAAGATCAAGAGACACAGGCATAATGAACTTCCAGAATCTGTAATCAATGGATCAGGCGAATCTCCGTCCTGCCCGGTTCCCACTCTCGCAAGCCTTCACCGACACTGTACCAGAACCGCAACCGCACACACTCCTGGCGAGCAGCCTCGATATCCCCCCGTTCAAAGGCTTGCGCCAAGCTCTTCACGCACGCCGTCACCCGCGCGTCATTCTCCTTTTTCAGCGCAGCAATGGTTCCCTCAGCCTCCGGATCTGCACCGACCTCCTCAATCCTCTCCTGAACCTCCATGACCTCCATCAGTGTCTCCGGGTCGAGCGCATGTTGAGTCGCTCCGTCCTCCGCCGTCACATCGATACCATGCATCTCGCGCAGAAGATACTGCGCCCGTTGCAGAGGGTCCGATAGCGTCCGGTACGCTTCGTTGATCCGCGCGGACAGCGCCTCCGCCCGCTGCTTCGCAGGTCCTGGCGGGAACTTGTCCGGATGTATCACATTCTGTAGTCGGAGGAACTCGCGTCTCAAATCGCTCAGAGGGATATCGAATGATGAAGCGGGAGGTGGCCCTGCCGGTAAGGTCTCGCGAAAGATGGTATAGTGGTTTGTAAGGTCTGGGAGGTTGCTATCCTGATTGCTCGTCTCGGGGGCTGTTGTAGATGAGGAGGCCGAGGCAAGCCGACGGGTTGGCAACGTCAGACTGGGTCCTCGCGCAGTCTGAGCAGCCCAGGCTCTCGGTCTTAGCTGGCAGAAAATACAGGCGCCTGTTGAGAATAGCGAGTGTCTGGCCTCCGTCCGTGACGGGCGAACTGCGGAGAGGAGCGATCGCTGGGCCAGCCGCTGCATATGGAATGATGCCGCCATCTTTTCCTTTAAGAGGTATGTCTGTTGGCGAAGCCTATGATTAGATCAAGAATGGTAGAAAAGCTTTTCCTCTTCCATCTGGGGATTGTTCCGATGGCTTTCTTCTCGGTCAAGCAATAAATAATGAGATAGCCAACCACGTGCCGCTTAGTCAGTAACCGGCGATCAATCACCGATTACGTCATTATATCCCGAACATGCATTGGAAGGCTTCATAATAGGTAGATGCACATTTCCCACGGAGTATTATCTGATCCGATCTATACTTTCTCAGGACGTACATGCAAGGGGAAGCCAGAGTTGGTGGAGGCATAAGCTGGAACAATTCGATGTCCAAGTCTGTGGAAATGGTAATAGTCTATTCTTCGAGTAACCGGAATCTCGAGATGGAGCATTGACTTTTTAAAGCTATGTCTAACACAGACCCTAAGCTAGACAGCGTAAGAATCGACTGTAGGTATATGTGTCTACAAGCGTAAATGTGGCCACATTGTCGATTGTACTTATTCGTCTTTGTAAGTGCTATATTCACTCTATGCCCCAGAGCTTCACAGTCCGATCGTGCCCACAACTGGCAATCCACTGGGCATCATCACTAATGTCTGTACTGAGAACATTGCCTGCATGGCCACTCAAGGACTTGACCAGAGACCAATCATCCGCGCTGAAGATATTGACGTTCTTGTCGAATCCACTGCTGACAAAGAATGTGCCTGACTTCTTTGGTTGAACGGGGGTTGCTGGCGTTGACTGCTCGCTCGTTGTGAGTGTCGGGTTGCTGTCAACGTCCATTCGCCCGTTGGTTTCAGTGGATGGCAGATAAGAGGCAGCCGACTCAGTGCCCTTGTACCACCGTACATCCGACACAACACTTTTATGTGCGCCGATCCCACCAATATTGCGTACTTGTCGGAGGTCCCAACACTTGATCCAGCCATCACCCGAACCTGACAAGACACGGTATCCGTCTACACCCCAGTCGAGACCGTAAATTTCTCGGACATGTCCCTCAAGGATCATCACCGTGCGGCCTGTCCGCAGATCCCAGATTCGACCAATGCTGTCCAGACCGCCGCTAGCCAGCAGAGAACCGTCATTGTTAAATGCCACCGTATAAACCTCTCGTGAATGACCCTCCTGAAGAAGGAGTTCGACTGTTGTCTCGACGTCCCACAAGCGCCATGTCGTGTCGAACGAAGCAGACGCGATGTACCGCCCTGAAGGATGGAATTCTGTCCGGCATACACGGCCGCTGTGGCCTGACAGTGTAGCTAGTGGTGTATCTTTATCCAGGGACCACAGCGCCACGTTGCCCTCGCCGCCGCCGGAGACAAGGTTGACACTCGACTCGGACACATCCGACGAAGGAAGCGTTGCACCGGGGAACCACGCCAATCCACCGACACGATCCGTATGTCCATTGAGATTTGACTTCTCCTCCAGATTCGGTACAGTGAGCAAACGGATACCACCACCCCAATTGCCCGCAGCGATCGTCTTTCCGTCTGGCGCAAAGCGACAAATGCTCACAGGGCGATCGCCCGCAATCTGCGACCCGTAAAGGTCGAACCCTTGCAACTTCTCTTTGATCGCTTTGCGGTGCTTGATATGTGTCCTCAATGGGATTGTAGATTCCTCTCGTAAGCGCTCTACTCGTGCTTTCGCTCGGGGTAGGGAATAGCGGGCGATTGTTTTTCGGGCGTTGAGTAGCTCCTGGGAACCTTCTGTGTAGAATTCTTCCTGTTGTTCTGCTTCCTCTTCCGCCTCTTCAGCTTCCTCTGTCGTACCTCGCATGGATATATCACCGTCCGCGGCCGCCGCTTCCTGCCTCTCGGCCAGATCCGTCAGAAGCTCACGCAGTCGGTCTCTCCGGTCCACGGGACCTTCTCCGAAAAGAGTGATCGGTTCCCCAAGTTCTCGCAGTCGTGCGCGCACACGGTTATCATCAGTCGGAACCGCCATGGCAGCTGCTCGTCGCTTGCGCTCGAATTGGGATAGAATGGCAGATGCTCGTTCGGCGGGTATGCCCGCTGCAGCAGAGGGAATATCATAGTCGCGGTCGACGGCTGCGATTGACATGAAAGAGTCAGCCGAATGACTTTGGGTCGCAATCCAAATTCAGGTCGAGTGAAGCTATTACTTACGGATGTTTGCCAGGTCAATGCCCATTTCCGTATCCTAATCAACCAAACATCATTGGACGTCAGTGGAAGGATTCCTGAAGAGAGCCTTTGACTTTATAATGTGAACATAGGTAGATCAATCTGTGGTAAGACATATATGGATCGAGCAGATGAGAGCCAGAGAAAGAGAGAAATCTTCGTACCTCGGACTCCTCCACGTACGCCTGTCTTGAAGGGTGCATCATCTTGGGCACTGGAGCTTGAGACAAAACTCGAATCAGAAGGATGACTTGGTTATTAGGTCGTCGTTTCGCCTGGAATATAATCGCCGAGAGTAGCAAAAGATTTTCCGGTGGATATTTATCAGTCTGAAGAGGCACCGGTTGCTCTTATGGTGACACCGCAGTACTAGTGGAGGCAAGGAAGAAAACGCGGAGAAGACGTTATCCAGGATATTTTCCATAGCCTGTACAAGGGCGGATTGACTGTTTTTCACCACCACGGGTCGTTCTTCCTGGAGAATCTTTCTACAACTCAGCTTCACTTGTGCAGTCTCAATTCTCATTATTATTCTGCAAAGATCGTCTCCTATGCTGAACCATTTTATAGGAATGAGCACATCCAGCCCGCTATGTGTATGTCAAAATTCTCCTGCACCAACCATCTAATTCCCCTCTTCTTTTACAAACTCCGGAACACGCATCATTAATCGGTTGCTGTAGACTAACAGCTACGTCTGCAAGTGTCCGTACCGAATTCATCTCACCAAAGGCCATCTCGGTGTCAAAATTCCTTATCTTTTTTCCCATGAGGCGGTCGATGACGCCAGGCGGTCGGCGATCCCGTCTTATTGTTTCCATCAGTCATGGAAGGGAAATTTCAGCAAG